TCTCATTTTCAGGTGATTATAAACTAATAAAAACATACCTATGAATATTGCTACTGCTATTACAACTTTAGAAAACATACCAAACAAAACTTGGAAGTAATCGTTTACTGAATGATCCTCCAGCATCATAAATGTCACTTAAGTACAGTTTTGAGGTATTTGAGTATTTCCACATTGGTTGGAGACATTGGTTGTAGTTAATAGTTACTCTGCAGAATTCAACGTGTTTTACCTTTACGACTATACAACAACCTTGTTTTAGCTTCAGCATGAACTCCAGAGTTTCAGTGAGAGAAAAGAAAGCCGGTGATGATTTTGGAGATATCCCCAACAGCACAATAAAGCAGTCCGACTCAGCACCACCTGGACCAACTACAACATTAAAATCCAGCTTACAGGTTAACACATCAATAATTCAACAGCGTGAAAGGAACCATTTTCACAACCAGTACTCCTGATACAGTACAAGAGTACATTCTACTGATAATACAGAAGTCTGATTTTGAATGCAGGATTTGTACTTGTGATGGAGTATTATTCTCCTTTTTGGTTTTCATGCTTTTAAGTAAACAAACACGGCTGCTGCTAACAAGGATGATTTGTTGAATAAGTGTTGTATTCGTATACTGTATGTGTCTATTTAGATGTTAATTTAAAATAACTTGTGCTCTTATTTGCTGATTGATAATAGTGAACCATGCAGTCTACAAACACAGCTCCCTCACTACCACTGTGAAGTAACACACCTCGTTGCACTGCTGTAAGGCACATATAATGTGAACGTAGACTATTTTCTGTCATGCTGTATGTTTCTTGGCATCTGAGAGGATTTTGAGCTCAGCAGACTGGAGATACACAGCCTGGGAGGCAGTTTGCTAGCCCAAACTATATTTGAATCTACCTGAAATTAAAGGAACAGTTCGCCTTAACACTCCCACTGAAGTCGGCATATAAAACCGCAAAACATGAAGCAAATTCTTACTAAATCTTTTCCATCTCAACCTCCTCCAAAACTGTTAAAGCTAGTAGCTAATAGACTCTTTCCTGCTGCAAGGAAAGCATGATCTTAAAAAAGCTGCTTAACAATGCAAATGTTTTGTGAATAGAGCACTGAAATATGGGTCCACATATACAATATTCACAATATAAGCATCTCCTATATTTTGCCCAGGGATAATGCTTCAGTCATGCGTGTGTGGTGCAGTGTGTCCGCCGCATTGTGAGCAGCAAACACACATATCTATATCCAGCATGCATTGCAATTGGATATAGAACAACAGACATTTCAGCTTATTAATGAGTCTTTGGAGTGAACTGCTCCTTTAGTCGATTAAAAACTAAAATTTGGGATGCACACACATGTTTGTCTATACTAGACTAAATGATGTGATTGAACTGTGCCATTTGCACTTTGCATTTGAAAGCTTCACACCTTCAGTCTGACCTTGATAGGGCAAAACACAAAAATGTCACAAAAAAACCCATTTCAGTCTAAGTGTGATAGCCTTTCGCAGCCGGATTCTAAACAGAGACGTGTGTAAGATACAAGTGTTCCCCCCACAGCTACAGAACTGAAACAGCATTTAGACTTTTATGTGATATCCAGACTAGTGAAATTGTTTGTCAGCAGCTCCTGAACATTACTCTGACCCCCCTCAGTCGCCGTACCTGTGGCAGGGCGATGGACAGCTGTCTCTGGAGTGACTCCTTCTCGTGGCCCAGCTCTCGCAGGCGTAGGTGCGCCGTCCCCAGACTGTCCTGCGTCTCCCTCAGGCTCTCCAGCAGCCTCTCCCTCTCCGTCAGCATGTTCACCATCAGCGACTCCAGGTTGCCCGTGCTGCCCCCCTCGTCGCTGCCACCGACACCACGGGGGTCACGGCTGGTGAAGCCCACTATGCCTCCAATCCCTCCGCCCATCCCCCCCCCGCCCCCCGCCGGGGAAGACGACCGCCTCCTACCCCGCGCCCTCCTCCGCAGATGGGTGGCGCCATCACCCCGCACATCATCTTGAGGGCCCGAGGGTGGTTTGGATTAACGATGCGTAATATCTGCGAGAAGGCAGTCTTGTCTGAGGATCTTGAGCAGCGAGTGTCTGGTGAACGGGACTGAGTCGTCATCGAAACAGTTACTTTGTAGTTTGGGGGGGGGTCTGTTGCCTCTAAAGCTGATTGGGGTGAGGCTGGGCAGGCAGGAAACAAGTGCTGGGGGGTTCGGAGACGAACAGGGCAGATCTGTGAGTTCTGTTGAGTGAGGGAAAACTGGGGGGGGGGGGGCCGTTATAAGATAAGGTCCAGTGTTGGGGTGGGGGGAGGCAGTGTAGTGGCTTGGAAGGAGGGGGGGGGGGCGGGGGCTGAGGTTTGGTGGGAGCGCGGTGGGGTAGGGGGTGAAGGGGTAAGAGGGAGAAGTGCAGGGTTCGGTGGACGACCTCTGACCCCCGGCACCAGGCTTCACTGGGATGAGAGACGAACCTGGAGAGAGAGGAAGAAAGGGAGAGAGAGAGAGAGAGGGAGAGAGAGAGAGAAGAGAGAAAGGGAGAGAGAGAGAGAGAGAGTGTTTTTTAGGCGGTGAATCTCTGCAGGAAACCAAATGACTGAGGCCACAGAACACATGATGTCAGCCTGCATTTCCCAGCAGGTTGTGATCTCTCATATCATGTGAACCTGCCTGGCACACACACACACACACACACACACAGTCAGCCACCTTTGTCAGGCGTTTCTCCAAACCTCAAAGAGAGAGTAAGCACTGCTGTTGCAGCACTGCTGTCTCTTGCTTGCACTGACTGCCATCGCGATACTCAACGTCTGGAGTCATGCATCCATCAGTGCATGTCTCGGCTTTATGTATCCGAGTCGTCCAAAGTCATAATGGTGAAAATGAATGCGCATGATGTACGGAAATGAGTCGTGAATGGTAGCTTTACCTCAGCAGCCTACAAAAACGCCGCCACGCAAATACAGAACAATTCTAAGGCCTGCAGGTGGAAGGAGAAAGATGCGGCGCTGTTTCATACATTCATGTGAGGAGGAGAGAAAAAAAAGGGTGTCATCATGAATTGTAATTACGGGCTGTATCCAGGAGGAAATAGGCTTCTTTCTCCGGCTCCGGAACCCATTTGTAAAAAATATTCTGTGTGAATCAGGAGCTTTATTATCCTCAGGGTGGTAGATTAATAACTGTCTTACTAAATTAATGGCCTAAATGGGGGGAAACAGCCTATTTTTGAATGCATTCAGAGGTGTACAGGACAGCCTCACACCGCTATCACATCATGGTGGGAGGTGCCAATCATCCTGTAAATGAAGGAGGCCTAATTAACAGATGAAATCCTAAGATTTGACGCAATTGGATTATTGTTTTTCTTTGCGATATGATTAACCTAAATGTCGGAAAACGGTGCGCCGCTTTGGCTTTATTCCGAATGCAAGGCGTCTATTTCCTATCAACACCCCCCTCCCCACACCACCCTGCTCTCTCTCCCCCCCCCACCCATAAAAACAGCTGGATGGTCTAACGCACGGCTAGATGTGTGCACCGTACACCCGCCGTGGATTTGAGCCGCCAGCAGAGGATTCGTGTGCCTTACCCTCTCCATGATCGACAGAGAAAGGACATAAACGCGCATCGCTGGCCGGTTCACTCCATCAGAGCATCTGAGAGACGGAGGCTGCAGCTTATCCCCGTTACAGCCCGGTTACCAGCCTGCCCCATCCCCTCCCTCCCTCTGCTGTGGGAGCGACGGCTGAAGGGCTCAGCCGCTGCGTCAAGCCGCACGCAGGCAACGCAGGCGGCATCCGGCCACGACTTTCAGAATAAAAGAAGGGGCAAAGCTGGTCAATGGCCAAGGGTGCCACAGCTAGGAAGTATGAGTGTGTTAAAGAGAGGAGACGCGCCTATACACATCAGGTGACTCAGTGTACTTCAGTATTTTAATAGCCTACTTATATTTCTTTAAAAACAAATTTTCCTTATTTCATTTCTTTGCTTCATGTTTCCTTTTACCCTAATCGTTTTTCAGGCCAACTGCTTCTTTTCATTTTCAATACAAACAGTACAAAACCAATACAAACGATACAAGAAATAAACAAGAAATGAGAGCGCCATACACTGTGTAACCACTAATTTAAATAGAATATATATGTTAGTAAGCATAAATACTAATCCTAATAAATTAATAAACAATAAAATGAAGGGAAATGTACATAACGTCACACTGACTGAAGACATACATCCAAATACATCACACAGTCATGTTAAGTATTTAGTAGGCTATACATAATTATTGTGCGTACATTTTATTTTATGTCTGCATCTGCCAGTGGGCCATCACAATAAGAGTGGCAAAATATTAGGTTGAAAAAATATGTGATTCGTATCGGATCAAGCAAGGAAATCGTCCAGAAATGAAGCTGGAAAAGTATCTTACCATATCTGGTAATAATAGTCAAGCAAAATCTGTTATTATTGTTATTTATAGCATTAACCTTTTAGCACAGCCTTAAGGGAATAGCACCCAGCCTGTGACAGCACATAATGTACGAGCATGTGACACAAAAAAAAACCCCTGACTCTCTAATAAACATCCAGTTGGATATTTTTATTAGAATTTCTTGATGTACTTTCACACTGAGAGAGTATAAAGGTGCCTGGATGAGTCAGTTTTATTTGATAAACACAAAGGATGAACACATCAGCTCACAAGCTCGATGTTGCGAGACACATTTTTTGTTTAATTTTTGTTTAGTTTTCTCTTATCTTTTTATTGATAGATTGAGAGTTGTATCTCCTCAGGTGAAACTATTCAAATTAAACACCGGGAAGAGGAAGAACACTGATTTACAGGAAATGTAGGAGACACAGCCAGCAACTGGTATATCAGGCCTATATTGACTTCTTATAAACATATATCTTTTGTTGAAAATGAGTAATACAGTATAATTCTGTTAAATAGTAATGTCTGACAAAATAATTCTTTAAATTATCTAAAACATAAAGACAAAAAAAAAAGTTGAACCTTTATTCTGAAGACAAATAATCCTGCTTCCGGCGCGCTTCCTGATGTTTCTGTGTAACTTGACGACCTCCCATCGGTTATCTTCCCTCATCTCTCCTCCTCGGGAAGATGCTGGGTCTTAAAGAAACAAGCTTTTACCGGCTGTCTGCCTCCACATAAACTCCTCACTCTCACCTCTAACTGCGCTTTTCTGCAGTTTTCTACCTTTAAAACACAAAACTCATTAACATCATCAGAGCAGCTGTGATTGAGGTTAATTCCTCTATTTATTCTTACTGTGTGGTGATGGAAACTTGCTCAAATAAATAAACAATTGCACCCTCTGGCGGCTCAATTAGGGAAACACAATGCACTACTGGCAGAAGGTTTTAGGCCAAATGTCTAGATTGTAGGCAACCATCATGGATTCACATTGTTTGAGAAACAGATTTTTAAAGGTCAAAATCAGCAATGAACAACTTAAAACTGACCTTTGACTTTTGTTAAAAGTTTATATTAAGGTGAGTAATCTGGGGGTCTATGGGTTTTATTGTGGGGATTCAATGATTTGATTCACATTGTATAAAATGTTTGACAGATTTATTATTAAATGACCTCATGTCAGAAGACTGACTGCAAATTTACCAGTCACTATCACCAGTCATGAAAGGCTCGGTCTGACATCCAATCAGATCTAAGGGGAGGCGGGTGTTAAACCCCAAGGTAGTGATGGAGGGATGGGGAGGAGGAGGTGTGCTGGAGGTGACGTAATGTCCTCTTCAGAGAAGCTGATGTACAGAGGAGCCACCGGTGAAACTCAAAGTGCATCCGAACTAAATCTGCAAAACGTAGTTTAGAGAGATTAGAACAGAACAAAATAAAAGAGAAGAAGCACAGAAAGGAAGGAAGAAAGAGGAAAGTCTGGGATAATAAAGGACAGGAGGAGGCACCATTTTTGAGAAAGCAAGGTGCCTCTGCAAACTCATCATTTACAGTTCAGAGGAAACTCTTTTTTGCAGCATGAAATTATATTACAGAGATATCCCTATTATACATTAAACTAGTACATTCAGTGCTCAATTTCAAAGTCCATACCATTGTGCATGTGGCATTGAAGTTATTAGGAAACACAAATAACAGGCAAATAAGTGATATCAAAATAAAATGACAGATATAATGAATGCAAAATAAGCTTCCTTTATGTTTCTCCTTGTGCAGTTTGTTCATTTATTGTACTGTTATACTATATTGGACTGTGTTAAAGCAGCCTGAGAGATGAGTCAGTAACTAAGAAGCCCACCAGTTTTTTCTGACTAACTGATCTGAAACAACAACAACCTCAAATGACAACTTTATCTGTAAAATCATAAAAAGAGACATGAGTGAGGAACGGACAGACTGTGTTAAATTATAGTTTTATAGTGCAAGCACTGTTACTGCAACTTATTGTTGATCATATTATATGTTGCTGACTACTTTAAACTCTAACAGACTGTGTTTTGCACATAAGAAGTCTGTCTGAAAAATAACCAGGAACTGCAATTTTAAGAAAGATTTGTGGGAGAACAAGTATAATAATTCCAGTCAAGCAGATTTATACAGCAGCAAGAGGGTGACATGGAGGCTTTAATGGGTGGCAGAAATATATGCAATACATGCCGCCCAAATTAAGACATTTTAACTCAACAACATTACCATATTGTGTATTATTAAGAAGGAAGCATTGAATACAATTATCTAAAGGGGGCATTAGAACTCAACAAATCTTCAATATACACTATTTTTTCATTCTTCATTGATTCTTTTTTCACTTATCCTAAAACGTGGCCATATCAGATGCTCCTAGATCCATCTCGGAACATGGAAGCCCTCAAGTAAAGTATCAGTATTACCATATATCTGAGCAAAGGTACCTTTATAACAGCCCTGAGCGCAGTACACACAGAAGATCACACTGCATCATGATGTCGTAACAGACTCTCTGACAGTGTGTTGACAGCTTCAGTGCCACCT